TTTGAAGTAGTTGCTAATAATTTTTTATATTTTGTGTTGTCTATTGTGATTTCCCTTTTTTCATTTCTAATTGAATGATGCACATTTTTCCTTTCCTTTTTCCTGGCTAAGTGCGGGTCTGTCGCGTTTATTCTTTTGAAGAATCAATTTTTTGATTCAATGATCCATTTCTTATATTTTAATTTGAATTCCATGAATTTCTGCCTTGCTATTTATCATTTCATTCTTTGCACTACATTTTTAGTTGTATTGTTTTTCTTTTCCTAGGACTTTGAGGTACAGCATTAGACTAATTATTTGGGTTTATTCTGTTTTTTTAATATGAGCATTCACTTCCTTTTTAGGACTGTTTTCTTGTCTCCCGTAACTTTGTTACGTTTTATTGGTAATATTGTTTGATTCCAGAAGCTACCTAATTTCTTCAAATTTTCATGTGACCCATCAATTATTCAAAAATGTTTCATTTAGGGGGCTGGGGATTTAGCTCAGCGGCATAAGCACCTGCCTTGCAAGCAGGTGGTGGTAAGAGTACCCATAAAAATGAAACAGACAAAAAAAAAGTTTCATTTCATTTCCATGCATTTACATAGTTTGTTTGGTTCTTTTTTTCCTTTGATTTTTAATTTCCTTGTACTAGGATTCAAAAATACACAAGGGATAATTTTGACTGCTTCTATATTTACTTAAGCATGTTTGTGGGTTAGTAGATACCCTGTTTCTAAGACAGTTTTGTGTGCTGCTTAGGAAAGCATGTATTCTGTTTCTGTTGGGTAGAACACTCTGTAGTTATACCTTAAAACAATTTGTTCAGAAACATGCATCAACTGATATTTGTATGTTGATTTGTCTAGCTGGTTGATATGTGTATTTATGATATTGTTGTATTGAATCTCTCTCAATATTTTTGTTGATAATTATTGAATCTCTTATGTCCAGTAGTATTTGTTTTATGAAGCGGTCTGTGTCACTATATGGTATGGATACATTTACAACTATTATCTCTTCTTATTGATTATTCCATTAATGAGTATCTAGTGACCGATGCCATAGATAATAACATTTGGAATCATTTCTCTTATTAAAAATATATTATACCAACCTACATCACAAAGTAAAAAGTTTTAGTAGAAAATACTATAATTTTAAAATATTTTTTCTAAAGTTTTTGAGTACAAATATCATTATAGTTTCACTGTTGGTTATATTTTTGGTGTCACAATTTGATATATTCAAAAATTTTCTCAAATAGAAGCACCAATGTGAAACTGATTTTCAAATATAGTGATATACTTTTAAAGCACAGTTGAAGGGCCAGCAATACAGCTCAGTGGCTCAGCAGTGCAGCCTGGCAAGTGCAAGGTGCTGAGTTCAATTTTTAGTACCAGCAAATAAATAAACACAAATAAAAAAGACTTGTCACTGTTTATTCCACCGTACTTTTTAGGAACTCATACCACAATCACTTTTAAACATCTTAGAAACTCATGTTCCAAATAGGAATTCTTGGAAGGATGCCCATTTGTTTTTGGAGGATGTTCATCTGTTTTTGTTAGAAAAGAATGAAACACCTCTGAGTTTTAGTTCCTTATGTGACCCTTAAGGAGATAAGTAAACTTTGCAGTGACTAAGATTTTTTTTTCTCAATGTTTTGACTTCCTTTAGCACATTATTCACATTTGGTTTTATTCATGGGAAAAATGCTCATAGAATTTAATTTTTCTGGCCTACTACTTTCTATTCTTTTATATATTTTCTTTATAATAGTAACTAGTAAATACAGAGCCTGCCAAAAAATAAAAAGATACATACACAAAGACAAAAAACTTGTATAAATATTTTAATGTAAAACTATTGAGACACAATGAGATTAATACAAGTTACCCTTTACCTCTAAAATTAAAAGAGGTATTTAAAGTGGTGGTCCCTACCTTCCAGACATTTTTTAGCATGGCAAACTTCGGTTGAGTGACCTTCATCATTGAGATTGCTAAACATATGTTTTAAATTTCTTCTCTAAAGGCCAGAAGTGTAATGGGTTTTCTGCGACATGTTTTAGGGTTCCCCATACCAGGATAACGCTGTTGAAAAAGCATCATACTGAGAGGGGAGCCGGGAGCTGAGCCGCGCGGAGCCAGCCGAGCCGGAGAGCAGCGCCCGCCGAGCTGCGCTGCACGCGCGCCTGTGCCCTTCCCTGAGCCTGTCCCGGTCCCCCGCCCAGTGGCCGCAGCGCAGCGTTGACGTCACGGCGCTCGCGGGGCTCCCGGCAGCGGGGAGCCGGCCTTTATTTCTCGTGGCAAAGTCAGTCCCCTCTCCCTCACCCTTCCGCCTGGCCCCGGCTCATGCGCCCCCCTCACCTGTCCACCTCCGTGTTTTGCTCCGGAGGGCGTTGCAGGGTGGGGGCGCGCAGGGAATGGCCCGGGGTGCAGCTGGGGGTGTCTGTGGGCTCGGGAAAGGGCTGCGGCGGGGCGCCTCGCAGCCGGGGGTGGGGGGCGGAGGGAGGCGAGGGGGAGGGGACCCCGGGTCCGAGGCTGAACGTGCAGGGTGTGGGAACATCCCGCGGAACCCAGGGCTCGCGGAGGGCGCGGGCAGGGGCTCACCGTGTGGTCCCCCAGCCTCTGCCCGCGCCCGCCCGCGACTCCCTCCAAAGCTCCGTTAACCTCGGTGCTCTCCGCGGGCGGCAGCGTTGCATGGAGAGAAAGGCAGCGCCGAGGCCGCGCGCTCCCGCTCCCCCCCCCCCCCAGGCTCCCGCGTCCTTCCTCCTCCCCGCCAGGCTCCCTTGTCCTCCCCCCCCCCAAGCCAGGCTCCAGTGTCCTTCCCCCCCTCCCCCAGCCAGGCTCCAGTGTCCTTACCCCTCCCCCCCCAGCCAGGCTCCAGTGTCCTTCCCCCTCCCGCCCCCGCCCGCCAGCCACACCCCCAGGGCGGGGTGCGCGCTCACCGGCGCAGCAAACTTGGAGCAGGCTGCTGGGTCCGTGGGGAGAAACTTGGGTTGTTGGAACTGGAAGAGCATCACTCTCCGGGTCCTGGAACCTGGGAGCTGCTAGGGCGGCCGGCCTCTCTGATCAGTGGAAGAAAGCCAGCTGGGCTTGGAGAGTCCTGGGGGCATGGGGAGAACCTGCCTGCCGCAGTGCCTGGGGCGAGGATTGCAGCGGGCCTGGAGGCCCACAGTGTCTTGGTCACAGAGCTGCGGCGCTAGGGATCCGAACCTGGTGGAGTCCCAGGACTGATCCCTGGACCGGGACCCTTGGGGCTTACCTAACATTTTAGGGTGGTTATCTTGGAGATGGTACATAGGACCTCGAATTGTCATATCCATTTCTTTGGCAGGTAACAGGAAGAGACACTTTCTCTGTCTTTCTCTCTCTCTCTCTCTCTCTCTCTCTCTCTCTCTCTCTCTCTCTCTTATGCTTTAAATTTCATTTGGTCAGTAGTTTGTTGACTGCAAAGGTGTTTCAGGTTTTTTGATTTGCCTTAAGTAAAAATGATAGACAAACTTATAATACAGGACCATCAGAAAACTTTTATTGCTAGTGTTTTTTTTTATTAGTCATGAGAAACTATAAAAATATTATGCATATATTACTTCCTTTAGATTTCTTAATTCTTATTCAAATCATTATATCACAGGTTCAGTGATTATCTGTGTTTTCTGAAGGTGGGTTGTGTCAGATTTTGTTGCCTTGCCCAAATACTAAAAAAAATTAGTTGAAATGGAAAGACATTTTTGTCTCATGGCAGAGGTTTCAGTCAGATGGTTCCATTGCATTAGGACATTTGCAGGAATATCGTGGCAGGGTCATGGTAGAGGAAACCTGCTTCTCTTATGACAGCCAGGAAGAAGAGACAGCAAGATCCAGACAGGAATGAGGTAGAGACCAAATACACCCTTCAAAGCCAGTGACCCCAGTCACTGCTTTAACTAATTATTAATTACTATAATTCCTAATAAGATCACTCAGCTAATTAACTCCTCAATGGATTAATCTACTTGATGAAATTGGAGCGTTTATGATCCATATATACATTGGCTTTGAACACTCCTAATTAGGGATTAAACTTTGAAAAAACTTAATCTTTAAGAGGCATTTTAGATTCAAATTGCGGCAGGAGATTAAGTTTGCATTAAACTGGACAACCAACTCTGTGGTGTGTGCCACATCTCATGGAAAAGTGCAGTTATCATTAGGAAATGTGATGTTTCTTTTAAAAAGAAGATGTGTGCAAAACACTGCACCCAAAATGACTCCAGGAGGCCAGGGATACATCTCATCTATACAGGGTCTGCCTGCCAAATGCAAGGTCCTGATCGGTTCCTGGTACCAAAAATAAAACAAAATAAAATGCCTCTAAGCTTAATGCATCTGGAGCACTGTTCAGGGGAGCAATTAGCAAGTGATCATCTCAAATCTTCATTTACAAATGGTCATACTAATCAAATGATGTTGTTCTTGCTCATTCATTTATATTTGGAAAAAGGGCAAGATAACTTTTTGATAGGACAATTTGCATGTGGTGAGAGGCCAAGAGAGTTTTTTTGAGGGAAAAAAGTCACAGAAAAGAAAAAAAGCAAAAAGGCAAACAATAACAAACTCAATACAATAACAGTATAGGTTTCCAAAACAGGATGATAAGAATTTGACAAAGGTTGTAATATTGCATATTGTTACCTTCAAAGGGTGGCTTAGATTAACAGTTATAGACATGTAAAAATGATCTAATCGTATAAGTATTAACTGTTCTTTTCCAATAACCAATACTATTAATAGTATATTCATTTTAGTTATGTTATGTATATATATGTATATATGCATATATACATATATACATATATATGCATATATGAATGAATTTCTGTTTTGTTTTTCATTTTACTTTATTTTTTTCCTCCTTTCCCCTATCCTAGTTACTTTTCCTCTTTGAGCAGTTAGTTCCTGACCTTACACAGTTTTGGATCATATATACATTTTCAGTTTCTTACACCAGAGAGACAATATTTACACATGTGAGTTTGATGTATTTTATTTATTAGTAAGGTCTCATTACATCGTCTTACTTATAAAAGTCTCAATGTGATTTTTCATAGCTAAAGAGTATTCCATTGTATAAAAATACACGTCTTTTTTATTCATTCCTTGCTTGATGGCCACTTAGGTTGTTTCCAAGATTTGGCTATTACAAATTGTGCTGCTAAAAACATAGGTAGACATATATCACTGTGGTATGATGTTTTCAGTTCTTCTGGGAAAATGCCCAGAAGCAGGATAGCTGGCTCAAATGAAATCTCCAATTCTAGCTTCATAAGGAGTCTCTCCACTGATTTCCACAATGATTGAACCAGCTTACACTCCCACCAACAGTGGAGAAGGGTTCCTTTTTCCTCACAGTGCCTCCCACATTTGTAATTGGTTGGTTTCTTGATCTTGGCCATTCTTTCTGGGGTGAGATGGAATCTCAGTGTTGTTCTCATTTGCATTTCCTGAATGACATTGATGTTGAACTTTTTTTCATGTATTTACTTGCCATTTGTATTTTTTCAGCTGAGATGTGTATAGTCATCTCAAATACCCATTTTTGGGTTGGGGTCTTTGAATGTGGGGGGCCTGATTTTTAAAATTCTTTATATATTCTAGATAGTATTCCTTTGTCTGAGGTGCAGTTGGCTAAGATATTTTCCCAATTTGTAGGGTTTTCCTTTCATTCTGTTGGAGATTTTCTTTGACATGCAAAAACTTTTTAATTAGGTGAAATCTCAGTTGTTGATTCCTGCAAGTACTTCTCATGCAGTTTGATTTTTGTTCATGAACTCTTTGCATACTCCTATGTCATACAGATTTCTACCCACTGTGTCTTCAAAATGATTTAGTGTTTCTGTTCCAATATTTAGATCTTTGATTTCTTTTGACTTTCATTTAGTGCATGGTGATAGACATGGATCTGGTTTTAGTTTTTGGCATACAGAGAGTCAGTTTTTCTAGCACCACTTATTAAAGAGACTGTCTTTCAGTGTACATGTTTGGCCCCTTTGTCAAAGATGAGGTGGTTGAATGTTTTGCTAGTTGTGGCTATATCTTTGAATCTATTTCATTGATCTCCAGGTCTGTTTTTATTCAAGTACAATGCTGATTTTATCACAGTAGCTTTATAATATACATTCAAGTGGGAGATTGTGATCAATTCTGCCTTACCTTTGTTACTCAGAACTGCCTTTGCTATTCTAGATCTCTTCAGGTTCCAGATAAATTTTAGGGATGATTTCTCTAGATCTGTAAGGTAGGCAAGTGGTATTATGATTGGCATTGGATTAAATCTGTATAACAACTTTGGGAGAATGAGGTCTAGAGAGTTTTTATAGGGCAATTGTCCCAATTTCTTATTTACATGGGATAGGAGTTTTCCAAGGCATTTTGATAATAATTGAGCCTTTCTCTTTATCCTTTGGGCCACTGTGAGCCTTCTTCACCAGTGTACTCTTATAAATTGAATTTTGTTTTCTGCTTTCTGTTTTCAACAAGTCTACATTCTTGCTGCCTTTTCTCTGTGTCTAGTCCAAATCTCTGTTCAAGACATCATTCTTGTGAGTAGCATTGTTGAAGTCTTATGCAAACTCAGATTTATTATTCTGTCATTAGAAAAAAAGGAAGGAAATTCACACATAAGGAAATTCACACATAACGTTGCTCTACTCATATTTATTGAATGAATAAAACTTTTTATGAAATGAAATTTAATGTATTTAGTGTATTGGAAAAAAGAGAGGAGGAAGAGAGAGAGAGAGAGAGAGAGAGCATGAGAGAGAGAGAGAGAGAAAGAAAGGAGTTAATAAGTTGTGTTAATAGTTTTGTTAATAGTTGTGGCTTGGCATGTCCGGTACCAACATCTAGTTTCCTAGATTTAATTTAGGTAAGTCATTATAAGTAAATAAGAGCCTTATCCTTAATCATTGCAATATATTTCCAGTGAAAAAGTTTTTGTGTTTCATTCACTAAAAGCAGTCACTGGATGTAAGTTTTAAGGTCTATGAGGATAAGGACTGTGTTTGCATGACCCACGATTATAGCCACTGTGTTGATTCCAGATTAGTTTTCAGAATAGAAAATCAATACATTTTAAATGAGCGACAAATTTAATGAAGACTTGGTAGCAAAACTTTCAAAAGTAGCTAAATTTTACAACAGTGCTAGGAAAATTGATATGCAATCATGTGATTTATTCATTTACTAAAACATAAAAAAAGAACAAAAATGATGATACAGAATTTCAGACTAGCATAATAGGACATTAGCAATGGTTAGTATATCGCATATTGTTATCTTTGAAGTAGTTGCTCAGATTATGAGTTATAGGCATGAAAAAATAAACACTGAGTTTCCTTCTGTGTGTATGACAGTGTTTGACACTGGGGGATAAGAAATAAACAAAAGAGTAAGTTTGAATACACGCAGCTTACACTTTGAGTGAGAAAACAACAAGCAATGGGAGTGCACGTGTGCTGCGTGACTGGCATCGGAATCGACCACTTCCAAGTGTTCCGGTAATCTTGGGCCTTCCCTGCAATAAAAGCAGTGTATCCCTCCATGTGTGATATAACATGCTTTCGGAAAGGTAGTGGCATATTATTTCATAGAGCAAGCCTCCAGAAACCTTGTATGTTTTTCTTGACTGCTTTGTTCTTAGGTCTCTGCCATACTTTGATTTCTGTGCAAACATGCCCAGAGTAGACTAATGTATAAGAAAGAAAAGTGAAATGTGGTTGGCTGCCACTCAAATCAAGTGAAAGTCTGAAAAACTTCTAATTCTCAAATAACTTAAGGTGCAGGGGTAATATAATCCTAGCATTATGTGCTCCTGAGATTTTTTTTACCAGTTATGCTGTATTCTACAATAGGTTACTGGCACAAAGCAGTCTTAATATTATAGGTAATTAAATTAGGTAAAAATTAATAGGCAGTAAGAAAGGAACAGGCCCAGGAGGAAGTCAATGTGAAAATGAGAATATATCAAAACAGACTGGACTTATCAGAGACTCCTACAGTGAGACCCAATCTCCTGTCAGGTGCTACCATGCACAGAAGAAAGAAAGAAAAAGAAAAAGAGAAAGAAGCAAAAGAAAGATAGAAATGAAAGAAATGAGAAAGAAAATAAAAGAAAAGAGAGAGAGAGAGACAAAGTGGTGGTACAAGGGGATCCAGGATGACCAGTTGTTCACAAGGCTACACAGCAGCCACAAGGAAACTTGACCTCAGCATTTATTGATGGGGGAGGGGATGATCGGATGACAGTAATTTAGCAGGTAGCTGTGGTTTTACACTAATGAGAATCTTGCACTGGAAATACTTTACTCTTCATAGTTTTAAACTTAATCTTAGTACATGGGAGAGGATGAGTTGCCCCTATAGGGATAATGGAAAATCTCAAAAGTGTGATACACAAAATTTCAAGCCTCTGTTAATCTCTTATGGAAGTGTGCAACACTAGCCATTGTGATTTTTGGTCCCTAACATGAAGGTGTATCTGAAGAAGGCAAGGCCTCAAGATTAAAATACAATGTACAGATTTACATTCATCCCTAAAGGGTGAATGGGACTTAAGATTACATTGTAATTGGTATCATCCAGTCCATTAAAACTAGATATGTATTGGACACCCAGTGGGTGACCCAAACAGCTGGACTTATCCATTCTCAAAATGTTCTTGTTTGAGAAATCATAGATAACCACGGCTAGTGATGTCAGTCTCATACCCTGGCACTCTGCTTCCTATTGGATCAATAAGAGCTAAGTGGCTATATTTATATTCTTGCTGATTGATTATAGTTTGAACCATGTTGTATCCACATGCTGGACAAGTTGTATTTCACAGAGCCTTCAGTGACAATCCATTTCTGAGACCCCTCTTGTCTTTCAGAGACTATGTCTTAATAAATCTTTCCTATTCTTTACCTGCTTTGTCTTCTGGAATTCATTTTCAAACTTGGCACATCTGAACATGAGCAGGTTTGGTGTTATACTTTTCCTGTATCATTATCACATTTTAAGTGGTGATCATTGCTAGGGTGAAACAATAAAAATAAAGCAGCTCAATGAGAAAATGTTGAACTCATCACATATTCACTGAGAAAGTGTAAAAAGTGAAGAGAAATTTGTGTAGAAATTAAGAATAAAGTGAGAATTCCAATTTAATATTTCTTTTGGCTTAGCTACACACTAAATAGGCCAGTTTCCTGCTTCCTGGTCTTCTCTCTCCTCCACACTTTAGAAAATTTGTAGTTGTAATTTCTGTATGAGATGTAAATATTTTTAAAAACTCCTTGGCGATTTTACAAGAGTGTTTCACTTGAAGGATGGAGAGGCAATCCCTCTGAAATGCATAATTTGATATAGGGCAAAGAAACTAGATGTCCATATGTGTTGTGTTCTCTAAAATTAAGATTGAATTTTTGAATCAACAGACGTTAAGAGCAGAGAAAGAAAATTTCTGTCTGAGAGATACACAGAAAGGGTCCCACGTGGATTGCCCAAGAAAGCCACAAGATGAGGCAGGTCCAACCTGGGAAAAGTGGGCACACAAGATGAGCAAGAGGTGGGACAGAATTATGGTCAACCAGTAAGATTATCAGTCTAATTGCTCAGGTAGCATTGATTAACTTAAGGATGAGGGCCTTTGCTTGTAGCAGCTGAATTAGTGGCCCCTTCTGGCTTCCTCAAGGTGATGTGTATCCATGCAGAATATCAATCCCTGATGTTTATCTTTAGGGTGTGACTGCATTTGTTTTGTCTTTCCTTTTGAGATCTGGCCCAAGGTGCTAGGTATTTGTTTTCCCTTACAGTTGCAAGGTATATGATCATGCTTATAACTGTCAAGGAAGATAGAATCTGTCCTAATGACTGAACATCTATGGGAGTATAAGAATGTAATATAGTTCTAAGTATGAAACTATCTCCTATCCTCAAAACAAGAGAAAGTAATTTTAAAGGTTTTATATGACATTCATAGAGAAATTTGTATGCTGGTGTTTGAAAACCAGTGTAGAATTTAAATGAATAATATTAATTATAATGATACATAATATTCCTAGTTACAGTTATACATAATATTCCTAGTTAATATAATTCCTAGTTCCACTAGGAATATGATATCAAGAGTAGAGTCTCTGATATAAAGGCCTTAACATTAAGACCAGTATCTTCTTCAAGCATAGGCCACCACACAGATAAGCTGTGAGATATCTGACATAAAAAGATAAAGACATATAAGGAGATATAAGCAGATAATTGTGAATAAAAGAAAGGCAGAAAAGATTTTTAGAATATGGGTGGAGAAAGGACTGAATATATAACAATATAAAAATTTACTAAGCTTTTGGAGTAGCTGAGAGAATGAATTAAATGTAAAGAAATCACTAAGAAGGGAGTAGAGAATGTCTGGAGAAACATAGCAGGTATATGACAGTTGGCCTTTTTCTTTCAAAAATGACTTTCAGTGTAGTCCACAGGACAATGAGCATATTTATCTTGTTTCTAGTCTTTTTGAGAAATATTAAGAACACTAACTTTTCCCCTTATTTCTTTTTCTTTATAACTGCTGTTTATTTTCTCTTATAACATTAGAATAATCATTAAATATATTTTCAATATTAATGAGATATGTGTATCCCAGCATAAGATTTAACTACCTGGTAATGATAGTACCAACAATAAGAAATACTGTACAATAGTGACCTGATCCAAATTCTGGTTAGATGTTATGCACTGCCAAAGTATTTACCCTGCTTCCTGGGCTGCAACAATTATCCTAAAAGGAATCAGGTAACAGCTTTTGGTATGGAGTGTTACTTTTAGTTACTTTTCTCTTGTTTCTTAGACAAAATGCCCAATGACCACGTGAAAGAAAGAAAGTGTTTATTTAGCTCACCGTTTTTAGACTGTGTAGTTTGTTTCAGTCCATAATCAGCTGGTTCCAAGGCAGGTGGCCTGACTGGGGGGCAACAGTTCAAGCTGCAGAAGACAACAAAGCAACAACAGCAAAAAGGGGAGAACAAACCTCTTTTCCTCTCTTACATTGTATGCAGGCTCTCCACCTTCTGCTGGTCTAACACTCACACCCTCTGCCCCTCTCTGGCACAGTCTCAGAACCTTTCCCAAGTGAGGACCCTGACCCCCTGCTGAGTCCCTTAAACTTCTAAACTTTTCAAATTAATACAATATCCTAGAGCCCTAAGGGCATGTCCTCTACACTGTAGGATGTAGAAGTGCTGAGTTATCCGTATAAGCTGCTAAATTTCTCTAGTCGACACACTGCAAGGTTTTGGGGAGCAAGAGAGACCCACGGAACATTTGCTGTTAGTGAATTTTGCTGGATTGACATACCTGGTTCAAATTATTGTAAGTATTGGCTCCTACTGGCTTCTCCTCATTCTTTTTTTAGTTGGTGGTGACATTTTAATCTCATGGTAGAATGGAAGTCATAGACAAAGCATTAGTGTGCCCTTTTTTTCCCACTTGTTGCCTTCTGGGAGATGTGTGGATGATGTCTGGTAGATGAAATCCTCATTTCACTCCTCTAAATACATCTTGAAATCCAAGGAGGGACAAAGCAATTAGTTTAAAATAATTCATTCTTTAATGTTTATCCTTACATTCTCTCTCTAACTTTGTCTCCATCCAGGAATACCAGGTTGAATCAATAATCAAAATTGCTACACATATTTTTGTGAGTGTAAGTATCATGTACTTTTTTCATAGTACAGGCAATAAGGGTGTTAAAAATATGGAAAAATATACTTAATTATACAGAATTCAAGGAAGTCAAGGCATGAAAATGGCATTCAAGAAGTAAAGTTACACATATATCCTATTTAGAAAAGAGATATGTTGTAATACTCATAGATGGAAACCAAGTTGTCATTAAATGGGTTCAGACATGCTAAGGACAGATAAAAGGATTCTCTTTTCTGAAGGATAAATAACTTTGTGAGATAGGAAAGTTTTTCACCAAATAAATATTTAAGCTATAAACAAAGACAATGTCCTTTGTGAGCACAGCAGAGCATCTATCAAATAGTTGGAAATTATCTGAATTTTACGAAATTTAGCTAAAATTTCAGACTAATTGTGAAGTACTCTGGGGATAACCAGTGACACCAGAACATATTCTTTACTACCTATTAAACTACAACACTATGAAGAATTAATGTACTTTTTCTGTATTTTTATAACAAATAATTGAAGCAAGTAGAGAAAAATAGAGGTAAACATAAAGACAACATAGTGCAGAGACACAAGGAAATGTTGAAATGTGACTTCAAGGTTTACTTGAAATGATTGTAGCCATTTGACTGGGCAGAACTAACAATATTTGATGATATTAATGGTATGTTAGTTACTAAAATGTATTTTCAAATTATTGCATTATATTCTTTTGCTGTTCTTACTATTCTCTTGTTTGTAGGGAACATCTATACTTGTGTGAGCTGTTCACTGAGAATCTGTAATGCACAGGACAGGCGGAGAGGTCAGCTAAGAAACAGCAGAAGACAGAAGACAAGACTGCAGTGATAGAAAAAGATGGATATCAAGCCAAATGCAACAGCACTGCGTGCTGTCGGGCAACAGCAAAGGATCCCTGTGCATACAAAAAGAAAGTTGCACAATATGAAGGAAGCAGTAAAAATGAAATGAAGTAGAAGAGACATGCAGAAAGAAAAATGTTCTTGGATGTGTCACAATCGTCTTGATTCTTTACCTGGAAAACCTGTATTTTTTCCTTTGTAATTATCTAATATACTTTGTGTCAAAGAACAAGGACCTGAGTTCCACTTAAAGAAGATGAAGAAGTTAACAGATACCATTTTCGGGTTTTATCATGAAATTAGAAATGAAAATTTTCAGTTTCTAGTAGTCATGAACAGAGAGCCTCAGGTAAGCACGAGAGTGCAGGCAGACAGTCAGGATGCTCCTGCGCAGGCTCCTCAGGTGCAGCTGTGCTGGTGGGAAAAATCATGCTGTTTAGCCTAACGAGGCAAAACAGAATAAAGGCCAAGGTAATTCAGTAGAGAGGGTCTTAAATGCACAGCTGTATCAGCTGCTGCCTCCTTCCCACCTGGTCTTCATTTTTTCTCTGTGTAATCTGTTTGCTTCCCTACTGGGCCTGCTAACATTATCTGATTCCAGGCCAAACTGATATTAATCGTTTGTTATGAGGTCCTCCAAAATTAATAAAATTTGAGTTTGTCATCTTGGTGTTCCATGAACTAAAGTTAACTACCTGTGTCAAACCCTAAAGTCCACTTGTTACACCAGGATCAGGCTAAGATGTAAATCTCCATTTGAACTACAGAACAGCTGCACTCCTCTTGAAACTCTACATGCACAGAGAGATGTTTGTTTGTAAGTGGATACAATAGACAGAGTGCTTGTTGGTGTTTTAAAAGCCAAAACCTGGAATACTTTTCTTTTGACTTTACATATGGAGAAAATTACCGTGTAAAATGTAGAGGAGAATAAAATAATACCAAGATGAGTAAGTCCATTAAAAAAATGTAGATGAGCAAATGACTTTAGCGTTATTAATGCTGACTGGGAATTTGACTGGCCAAATGAGCATGTTTATACTTGGGACCAATTAAAAGGCTTACCATTTTAATCACTGGCAGAACTGGACATTCAGTGTTTTCCTGGATGACAAGGGTTTTCTTGTTTTTTTCAGTTTGGCTTTGTTTTGGTCTAGCAACTGCACCAGAGTGTCCTCAGTGTAGAGAAGATAACAATACACTACCACAGTTTTAGTAACAATATTTTGTTACTAACATTTAGTAACAGTGTCTCAGAGTCTCTCTACAGCTTGAGGGGAAAACATTGTTGCCATTCCTACCCTGAGGAAAAGCTACAGTAACTGAATGTTTCCAGAAGTAGAAAAATCCTACCAGTCCAGAACCTCCACGTGGACCTGACCTCTCAGCTTTCCCTGACTCCCCACCAGGGCAGCTGCTGTGTAGGATCCGCTGTAACGTACCAACAGCACAGGTGGTGCTGTGCGTTGGGGCTGGACTCATGGAGAATGTCCAGGAGCTTCCCAAGAAGACCCCTCCAACATTACTAGGCAAAAAGATGGATCGGGAACACCCTCCTAAGCCCCGGGAATAGTTCCTCCTGAAATAATTAAATAGACACACATCTTTCAGCTTTGATTATTTTTAAATCAGCCTGAAAAGACCAGCTTTCAGATTCCTGAAGAAATTGCAAACATATCTTTTTAAAAAAATGTAAGTTCTGTGTGATTCCACATTGAGTCATTGAATTGTGAGTTACTAGAATTTAAAGCCTTTGTTTAATTACTTGATTCATAGAAATTCTCTTGATTCATTAATATACAATTTAATCCCCAAAGGCACTCTGATTTTCTATATTTCCCTCTTTAATTTCAATGGGCATTTCTATCACAGTGTTATACATTCTCTTATACGACCCTCTACTTTTTCTTTTTTTCAGTATGGGGATCAAACTCAAAGACCTTCTACATTGGTAAGTCTTTTAAAATATTTGTAATTTCTTACTTGTGGTTATTTGAAAAAGGTACAACTATGAAAACACTTATTACTTTTCACAAGCCTGAAAAATAATGTACAGAAAAAATGCATTATCAATTTTGATATTTAAGCTTAATTCACAAAGAAATCCCCATCACATTTGGAGAAAAAAACTAATCATCAACACCAAGAAAATCCTGTCTTCTACGGTTTCGACCAGCTTTTGTTTCATAAAACATGAATTAAGCCTTTTCAATGACTCATTGCAGAGTCTGACATAGTGAGGTCATCTAATGAATGCAGGGTAACAACCATCTTTGAGTGTAGGTTGTCAGCTAAAAGATGCCATTTGCTGTTTCTGTTTTGGTCCTTTGAGCATGATTTCGCTTCATGTGTGGCCCTACCATGGGCTCCAGTCTTCAGCCTTATGTGTGTATTGCTTCTCATTTCATCCTCAGATTTCCTAAGGATTTCATAGCCAAACCATCGATCTTCATTTCTCCTGCTCCCCTGGAGCAGCAGCAGATTTGTGGAATGTTCTCAGGCTCTTTCTGTGCAAGATTTTCTTGTCTTGTTTTGCACTTTTTTTTTTTTGTGGTCAATAACCCCACTTTTTTTCATACCTCAGATTTTGAAGACTTTTGTGACAGTTATTGTTTCCTTGCATGGCTTAAAAAATAGTCATTCAATAAAGCTTTCAAATCTTTCTTGGGTCCTTAATGCCTTCCTAGCCCATTAGGTTTTTGAGTAGAAGCCAGAACAAAATGTAGGGAAGAAGATGTAGATGTGCAAAATGACTTTCATAAAAGTCCCATTTATAACTTCAATACACATTTATAACTTCACATTTATGTCACATTTATAACTTCAATACACAGCTGATTCACCGTCCAACAGCATGATCATTAAAGAATAAGAAGGACAGCAGGGACCATTTGGATGAAAGTACAATGAAAACCAATTTAATTTTCTTATCTGTAAGTGTGAAAAATGTTTAGTATGCTGGAATGTCACAGGAGGAAGTCCAGAGAACACAGGGATAACAAACACCAGGAGGACTACGGAGGAGGAAGTTTTATTATTTTCAACACAAGTCTCTCACAGACATATTCTTAAATTTATGTGTAAGAATTCCACTGGTGTTCCTGTGCTAATGGATATTACACATATATAATTTATATACTGATTTTGTTTCTTTCAGCTTATCACTGGATTGTAAACATGTTTTGGATTTTTATTGCTATTTTATTTGGATAATCATCTCATTTGCAAAGAGTGACATCTTTTCTCATTTTCTATTTATTGATATATTTTACATTAAAATAGTACCATGTACAACTGTCAAGTAGGTGTACATAATCAATTTTCTGCTTTTTAATTCTAGTTCATTTATTTTTTGCTGATTATTCCCTTAATTATTTGGTCATTTTATTGAGACACATTTGATACTATAACTACACACATTCACATATACAGGTTGGAGTTTGACATGTTCAACCCTATTTTGTTTTGTTTTTTTCATTTACTTATTGGCCTCACTAGTTCATTCATTGTCATTTTGAATATTAATATTAAAACATAATTGTAATAGGTATTTGAAAAAATAATTCCTACTTATAATTCTTTTTAATCATTTGCTCTTTGTCCCACATTTATGAGAAATTTGCCATTAACCATCTTTAGTTTTTTAATCGGTAAATAATTTATTTCCCATTGTTGGAATAGCCTTGCTTCACTCACATCATGATGATACTCTCTTATAAATCCTAAATTTTGTAAAGCAGTATTTGTTTATTTCTGTCTATATCAATGGGAGATATTTGTACAATATTTTATTTCCTTAAAATATTTTTGCTTTGCTTTTAGTTTAAGGCTTTCCTAAGGAGGAAAAGGATCCGTGATAATATCATCACAGTTTAGTACCTTTCCTTTTCTTCCTTTCTTCTGGTTAAAAACCTGAGTAGTGCTTTCTCAGGTCTCCAGATAGACTTTTATGGCTGCTTGATGAGGTTCGTGAACATGAGCTCTGATATGTCACCTGTGGGGCCTTGTTCTCTTTTTGATTCTTGACCACTTCTCTCATAGGTTCGTCCAATATCTCCTCAGACTTCAGGAGAGTTATTTTCCTAAACTTTAAGGATTTAAAATATTGTATGTTTTGTTTTGTTTATTTTGTGGTATTGGACATTGAACTCAAGAATCACTGAACTATATCTCCAGGCAATTTTCAAATTTAATTTTTAGGGGCTGGGGATTTAGCTCAGCGGCATAAGCACCTGCCTTGCAAGTAGGCAGGTTTGATTCCTGGTACCGATAAAAACGAAAAAGACCAAAAAAAAATTCTTATACAAATTTAATTTTTAGAAAAGATCTTACTTAGTGGCCTGGGATGGTGATCCTCCTGACTCTTTACCCTCTCAATAGCTGAAATTATAGACCTGTAGCACCAAAGCTGGCAAAGACTAAGGTCACATAAGTAAAACAATAGCCGTGAATTTTCAGGTGATATTTGTCTTGCTTGGTTATCATAAAAGTTCTCTCGGTGCTGACTTTGCAAAAGTATCTTTTAAATAATTTTGATCATATTCCAGGCTATTGGCACACATTTCATTCCTGGAGATGGTTAGAATATGGTGTTTCTAAAATGAGAAGGACTTATCTTTTCTCCTCTACTTTGGAACTAAGATGAGGTAAGTGGCCAGATACCTCCCCCCTCCAACAACTTGTGTCAAGTGTTCCTCCAAATCTGTACTGTTACATGTTTTATGGATACCCTGTTGCCTTCTCCAGTGTTCATGGCTATCTTGAAACCTACATGTGGCAGAGTACACAATTAATTGTATCTAGTTTTATAAGCAGCATTAGGAAGCCAAAAGTAAATACACTATTTTCTGAGTGGTAAAAACTTCACATGTTTTAAAATCTATGACCTGAAATTTGTTCTATGAATAAACCAAAT